CCATTCGTTTGTTGATGGGCACTTAGGTTGTTTCCAACTCCTTGCTCTTGTGAACAAAGCTGCAATAAACATGGGTGTGCATATATCTGCTTGGATGTCAGCTATGGTCTCTTCAGGGTAGTAACCCTTAATTCTTATTAAGTCAGAACCATCTCACAGCTGATTGCCCAGCTTTTCTCCCACAGATGACAAGAGCTTAATAAATGTTACCGTTTTGAAATGACAGTATGCCATGATGATTAATAAGACAGTCTTTTAAAAAAAAAACCAACCCCAGCAACAGACAGACAGTCTTACAAGTGTAGCTGGCTCACTGACTGCCAGCTTTCCACGAGAGTAGCTGGGAGATTCGGATGGTCTCCAGTTCCCCCTTTGTAGATTATGGTTTGTGGTAAACATGAGGCTGTAGCAAGGATTAGATGAGTCTGTGCGAGGCACAGGAGCTGCCCATTACTTCCATCATCCTGTTACGATTCATATTGCACAGCAAGCATTCAAGTGTCGGTTTTGGTAATGACTTTTTGAGTTGATAAAGAATGTGTACTATGTCTGAGTTGATGGCAAGAAGCCTTGGTGGCACTGTAGGCTAAGCATTGAGCTGGTAGTCAAAAGGTCAGCAGTTCAAACCCATTCCCATGGAGCAGTTCTCTGTCCTGTAGGGTCATTATGAATTGGAACCAACTTGACAGTGGTGAGTTTAGGTGATACCAGCTAACAATAAAAACAGTCCCTGGAGACACAAAGGGCTTGCACTCACCTGCTGATCTAAAGTTTGGCAGTTCAAATCCCTCCACCAGCACTCTGGAAGAAGGGCCTGACTGCTGCCGTAAAGGTTGCAGCGAAGAACACCCTGCAGAGGATTCTGATGTGACCCCAGGGTGCACCTTACTTTCAGATCAACTCAGTATCACAGGGTTTAGCTGCGGTGACAAGTTCGAAACATGAATGATTTCCTTCCATCCTTGTAACTGTTGAGTTCCAGATCACCTTACCCTTTCAGACAGGAAACAGACTCATTGAGGTTCATTGGTATTTGCTGGTCACCAGCAAGCCCTCTAGGGCCAGGGTTCCCATTGAGCTCTGGCCACACAGCCTCCTCTGTTGATTGGTACTCGGTGACCTCCACAGGTCTAGGTAGAAAGACCCAGTTTGGAGATTGTATTCTACTTCCTTCCCAATTCTGCTTTTTATCTAATGCCCACCTGAACTGGCCTCGAGTTGGAGAGGTAAACAGAAAAGCTGGCCTACTGAAAGAGAAAAGAATCCTTTTGAAACTGTAAGGTCCCTTAAGAATTGGTAACGAGTGATTTCCTTCAGTTACGGAGACAGTGAGTTCACCAAACGAGACATTGTTGGCTGCACACATGATCAGTTGCATCCAGTCAGGTGACAGGGGGATCAGGGGGGCACGTTTGGGTGGCTTCGTCCAGCATCTTTTCTGCTCTCAGGGTAGTGCTGCACCCTTGGAAGGTAGCAGAGGCAGCTGTCTTTGATGTTCTTATTCAGGGTGGTTTCTGACTAGCATTTCTCACCATGCATGTGCACTCCTCTTAAAAGATGATCTTTGTTAGGTTTCAGCAGAAAAAAAAATCCTTGAGAGAGACAGGAAATAGATCTTGGTCAATCTGTTCTAGGGTTGTTCTGGTAATTAATTACATGAGAAAGGGGTACAGGATTGGGAATGATGTTTTCACAGGTCAGAATTAGAGAACTTAAAACTACATGGTGGCTGGCTGTCAGTCAGTGGTGGTTTGTGGTGCTTGGAGCTGCATTGTTGTCTAGTGGATTCTGACTCACGGAGACCTTTGAAGGGCAGAGTAGAAATGTCCCGTAGTGTTTCCAAGGCCATAATCATTAAGGAAGCAAAGCAGACTGACATGGCTTTAGTCCGCCTTTCTAAAATACACAGATGATTTGAACTGACGACCTTGAGGTTAGGTTAGCAGCCAAACATTTTGCCCACTAAGCCACAAGTACTATGCCACCAGGATTTCAAATACCAGTAGCATTATCCTTGGTGGACAGGTTTTAGTGGGCATCAAAGCTCAGATGGACTATGCAGAAAGGCCTGGCCATCTGCTTCCAAAAACCAGTCCATGAAAACGCTCTGAATCACAGCAGCACATTACTTAGTGGGGTGGGAGCAGAGCCTGCAGGGGCAGAAGACACTCAGAATGCTCCGTGGTCACAACTAGGGACCCAGACAAACTTTGGCCCTGGAGATGGTGCAGGACACGAACGATGGAGTTTAACAGCTGTGTTACCTTTCTCTCCCTTTGCACCATCTGTAGAATTGAAGATAACACTCTTTACGTATCATTTATTGTATTTGTACTTTTGTGATTTTTCTTATAGCAGAAAATAAGATTCTGGAGTCGAAAGGACATAAAAAATATGTCAGTGGAAGGGATGTGGATTCTGTGTTGCCTTTTCCCATCACATTTATTTTCACTTTTTAATCTTATTTATAAGAGTTTCTCTTGAACATGTAAATTAGCTTATAATTTCTTAATGTACATATCCTTAATCTTCATTTCATGCTTATAGAGCTCAAACAAGTTAGTAAATGTTTATCAGGTTGATACAGAACACCATAAAATGTAGAAGAAACAGTTTTATTTGGACAGCCTAAATTCAGAGTACTTGTATTTACTAACAATACTAACCTTAAAGAGCTCTAGTGGCACAGTGGTTAAGTGCTCAACTGCTGACGGGAAGGTTGGCAGTTTAAACCCACTCAGGAGAAACACCTGGTGACCTACTCCTGTACACAGGACAGCCGGAGAAATCTCAAGAGCGTTACCATGCACTGAAACTGACTCAGTAGCACCAAACACCTTCTGACCTTTTAAAGTCTTTTGACATTTTGTTCTGAGGTAATTTTGTATGTAAGTACACCATTGCCTTGGTATTTAGAGACCTCTCATGCACACATAAATATTCCTGGGCCAGCTGGTTCACTCTTCTCCTTTCAATCTCCTTCCAGCGTTCCAATCCACATGCTGCCTACCCCAACCCTGGACCAAGCACATCACAGCCACAGAGCAGCATGGGATATTCAACTACCTCCCAGCAGCCTCCACAGTACTCTCATCAGACACACCGGTACTGAGCTGCGCCGGAATCACGTCATTGCACTGTTGCTATGCTGCGGGCGGACTACGCGACTCCCGGCCTGGCCTGGCCTCGAGAATGTACTGTGCAACCACGTCTACAGAATGTCCAGCCGCCAAGTCCCACCACTTTCACAGATCGGGGTAGTGGCTTCCAAGTTGTACCTGTTTCGGAGTAGACTTGAAAAGAAAGTGCTAGCACAGTTTGTGTTGTGGACATGCTACTTCCATAGTTTACTTGACATGGTTCAGACTGACCAATGCGTTTTTCCCAGTGACAGTCTGTAGCAGTTGAAGCTGTGAAATGTGCTAGGGGCAAGCATTTGTTGTTGTATGTGGTTAATTCAGTGTAACAGCATTATCTGACCAATAGTACACACACAGAAAACTGTTTAACTGGTACTTGAAACATACAGTATATGTTAACTCAACAGAATAACTGAAACTCAGCAAGTTTATTTTGGTTCACCTTTTTTTTTTTTTTTTAGTGTTTTATCAGTGGGTTGATTGATTTTCTACATTAATCAGTGTTTTTGTTTTCTTTTTTTTTTCTGACCAAGAAAAATGCTTGGATTTTTTTTCAAAGTACAAAAACCACAGTTGATCCAGAAAGGTTTCAAAACTCCCAAAGATTAATTTCCAACTTAATGCATTTGTTTTTCTTTCCACTCTTTGACTTGACTGGTATTAAAGCTGCTATTTGATAGTAATTAAGTATGTTGTCATTGATATAAACCTGTTTGGTTCAGCAAACAAACTAAAATGATTGTCACAGACAGTGTTTTATTTTCCCTGTTGGTGTTGCAGATTTGTGAGCATGCTTTCAGATGAAAAAAAAAAAGCATGAGTGATAACTTCCTTCAAAAGGTGCGGCATCCAATCCCAATATTTTGTCTTGATTTTAAAGCTGGTTGGTGTAGTGCTCTTAAAACTTTGCTCAGTTCATTTTCTTTTCTAAAACTGGTCCGCACGTCTTTTAGGATGCCCTTACTTCAGCGAGGAGAAGGAGTAGGAGAGCCTTAGAATTTTTGAGGAAAAGAAAAAACAAACAAACCTATAACATACAATGTACTGTATCAAACTATTTTACATGAATGACACAAGTATTCTGAATAAAAAAAAACCTGAACATTGTTAAAAACAAGGTGTTATGTAATAAATTTATTTTTCATAAATCAAAATGTTGAGTCAGTTATATCTTTTCTGTCTACCATGTTTTGTTTGTTGACTTTAAACTGTGCCCTCACATGATGCCTCTAAGTAAATCTATTAGTTTTTCTTGATGCTATTTATCTTTTCTGCTGACACAATGAAGTGAGATAGTGGCTTGTGGCAGAGGTCGAGATTCACTTAGATCTGTAATGAGATACATGAAATAACAGTTTTCTAAAGGGGAAATCCTGATGAACCTTCAGTGTCTGAAATAATTTCTGAGAACGATTTCTTTTATCCAGACTAATTATTGATGATGATGATGATGATGATAAAAAGAATGTAATTGCTGCTAAATAATGTGACTAAATCGAAATTGAAAATTATTTAATATAAAACTAAATAATATAATTATTGATAATACTAGTATTTTTTATGATTAATTTCTCTTCCTCCAGCCCAAAGTACAGGGCTTTCAAAACAAAACACACCTCATGTGGGGTTTTTTTCCTCCTTAAAAACCCTTTCATATAAGAATGTTTAAGAGCTGAAGCACTTGACCCAGCAATTCCGCTACTGGGACTATACCCCAAAGAGGTCATAACTGACATCCAGGCAGATACCTGCACACCCATGTTTATTGCAGCTTTGTTCACGATAGCAAGGAGTTGGAAACAACCTAAGTGCCCATCAACAAACGAATGGATAGAGAAGCTGTGGTATATTCACACAATGGAATACTATGCTGCATTCAAAAACAAGGAACTCATGCAATATTATTCAAAATGGTTGACCGTGGAGGACATTATGCTGAGTGAAGTATCTCAGCACAAAAGGACAAAAACTGCATGGTGCCACTATTGTAAAACAGGACTGACCTGGGGTTGGGGAGAGACTGAGAAAGATGGGTTCAATGATGTATATTGCATTGAAACAGATGAGGGAGAAAACTGTTTAAAAGGGATATGTGATTAGGTATTTTTGTCATGACAGGAGTCTAGAGTAAAGGCTACATGGTGGAGTGATGGTTTGTAAAACCATGAAAGAATTTTTGTTTTCCTTTTCCAAGAGGGTAGTGTACTGGGGGGGGGAGGGTTGGGAGGGGAGAAAAGTTCAACAATGAAAGAATGGAAATCCAAAATCTCTGTAAATTTTTACTGAAATTAATAATGTTGTTATGTGCCGTCGAGTCGTTTGCGACTCATAACGACCTTATGTACAACAGCCCTAAACCGTGCTCTATCCTGTGCCAATTGCATTGCCTCTGACACCCCCATCTTGATTACCCCAGTCACTGAATCAATCGACCTCATAGAGGGTCTTCCCCTCCTGCGCCGTCCCTCCACCCTACCAAGCCTGATGTCCCTCTCCAAGGACCTGTTTCTCCTTACATGTCCAAATAAATTTAAAAAAATTTAAAAAGCTGAGGCACTTCCATACCGGTGGCCTGAACACACAGCAAGAATGATGATCTCATGCTGTGCCCACGTTTCCTGTGGAAGCTCTGGAGTGCATGTCCACACTGCACAGGCTAGAAACCCTCACCAGCTGTCCTTTGGCCACAGAATTAAGTCAGAGCAGTTGGACTTCTCTCTCTCTCATTATGTCTTTCTTTCCATACTAATTGGATCCTCAGTTCGTTGCCTCAAAGAGTCCCACTGGCATAGTGGTTAAAGATGTCAGTTGCTGGTCTCAAAGGCAGTGGTTGAGACCCTCCACTCACTTCAAGGCGGGCAGCTTCCTTAAAGATACATAGCTTTGGAAGCCCTGTGAGCATCCTGCTCCTCGCAGGGCCGCTGTGAGTCAGGATTGAAGTCAGTTCCCATGCACTGGTCATGGTTTTTAAGGCATTACTTTCCAAACTTTAGTGGAGATGAGAAACATCAGGGGTGGTTTATTAAGAGTATTTTTTTCAAGTCTGGTTGCAGAGGATGGTGAGTAGGATTGGGCTGGTGCATGATGACACAGTTCTTCAGATGGTTAACTGTAGCATCCAGGCCAAGAAAATCCAGCTTCCACTGTGGTCAGCCTAGACTGTTGAAGATCGAGCACCAGTACTGGCCCAGAGAGAAGGCTGTGACAACTCATCTCCTCTTTGGTGAATTTCAAAATGCAAAATCAATTCTAGTAACCAAATACTAAAGTGATCCAAAGTCTTAGTTATCTAGTGCTGTGACACATAACCACAAGTGACTGGCTTTCATAGATAGAAATTTCTTTCTTACAGTTTAGGACTTAATTCAAGGTCCCCACTCCCAGTTGAGATCTCTTGACCCCTTTCAGTGTCTCTATGGACCTGTCCACATGTAAATTCCCATCAAATTTAGCTCTCTAGCTTGTTTCTCCCTAAGGTCCATTTCCATCACCTGTGTGACAGATGAAGGTCCTCCGTCCCTTCCTCTTTCTGCACAGCCTTTGTCAGCTATCACAGAGGCTAGCCTCTTCCCAGGAACACTGGCCGTACAGTGGTTAAGCTCTCTGTTGTTGGCCACATAGCCAGTGGTTGGCATCCACCAGCACATTAACTGAAAGAAGACCTGATGATCCGCATCCTTAAAGGACAGCTTTTAGAGATGGAGTGTCTGCTTCGTCTTGGACTCTCGTTGAGTATAAATTGAATGGCATTGGGGTGGTTGTGGTTGGCATCTGCCTCTCACCAGTAGACTGGAAGCTCCAGGAGGGTAGAGGTCCCGCTCAGTCTCAGGCCTCCTCACATTTGCTTCCAAGGGGATTGACTATTTTATGTTGGTCCCCAGGCTACTGTTGGTAATGAAGATTTCCTTGCCTTTAAGCTTCAGACCTAAGACATTGAACTCCTTACCATTCATGTCTGTATGTAATGCCCTCAAAACGACGATGACGGATTGAATTTTGTCCACCCCTAAAATAAATGCTGGCTTGCCTAAGCCGTCCATGTCAGTGGTGGTACTTACCATGGAGCTGGAACTCATAGCTCACCCTCAAATGGGTTTTCAGAGGCAGTGTATCACACGGAAGAGATAGCTCATCTTTCTCCCACAGAGCAGCTGGTGAATTTGAACCAAGCACCTTTCCACTGGAACTCCCTAAGCCTTGCATGTTAGTGTTATGTAATTATCCCAGTATTGTCAATCCGAAGCTCTTGATAGAGCATTAGAGGTGGTTATGCAATGAGGTGGCCATCCTTATGATGTGGTCTGAGATGTGAGCACTCAGTTGTAAAGTGATGGAGAGCAGTATATATTGTAGGTGTGGAGTTGACTCCAGCCCATGGTGACCCAGCTAGAAACCTCGCCCTGTCCAGTGTCTTCCTCACAGTTGCTGTCAGACTCAAGTCCATTGTTGAAGCCACTGTGTTAATCCATCTTCAAGAGGGTTTCCTGTCTTACTAATCCTCTGCTTTTCCAAGTGTGGCATCTTTTTTCTGAGGACTGGTACTTCTTCATAACATGGGAGGAGGAATATTTATTCTTCAAGAAACACTGTGAGTGCTCTTTCTCCAAGATAAATGTGTCTGTTCTTGGGGCATTCCATGATATATTCAGTAGCCTTCACCAACACCAGAATCAAGGCGTCAATTATTCTTTAGTCTTTCTTACACATTTTCCAGCTCTTATTATCCAGGTGAGAAAATGTCATAGTTTGTGTCAAGTGTGTGTTAGTCTTTAAGCCAGCATCCTTGGGTCTTGAACACTTTAAAGAAGTCTATAAGAGCACATTTTCACAATGCAATGCATCTTTTGATTTATTGACTGCTACTTCTATGGGTATTGACTGTGGATCCAAGTAAAATGAAATTATGGTCAACTTCACTCTTGTCTCCATTTATTGTGATGATGTTAATTTGCCCAGTTATGAGAATTTTCATTGTTTTGAAGTTGAGGTGAAATTCATATTGAAGGCAGTACGCTGATTGTCTTCAGTGGGATATTGTTTATCATTAAGTCAGGACTGACTCATAGCCAACCCTCCAGCAGGTTTTCAGAGGCTGTGTGAATGGTCTCAGAGGAGATGGCTCATCTTTCTGCCATGAAGCAGCTGGTGGATTTGAAGAATGCCTTTGAGTTAGCCGCACAGCTCCTTATCACAAGGCCACCAGAGTCCCCAACACCCTTAGTTAAGATTGCAGGCCTAACCTAAGAGGAGTTGCCCTGGGTAAAACCATCATCTTTTGTCTTACAAGAGATAAAAGGAGAGGAAATCCCGCAG